TTTTTATGTTTGAGAGTTAAACCAACTTTTTTTATATGTCTTTTAATCTTATATGTGTTTTGTCCTTTTCCATTTTCAAAAATTAATACTCTCTCTATTTTATTTTATATGTCATTTCTTTTTATAAATATATTGGTTATTCCCTCTTCTTATTGGAACACATGTTGACTTGTGGTGCTTGATTATTCCCTCTTCTTATATAGTAAATTTTTTATGTTTGAGAGTTAAACCAACTTTTTTTATATGTCTTTTAATCTTATATGTGTTTTGTCCTTTTCCATTTTCAAAAATTAATACTCTCTCTATTTTATTTTATATGTCATTTCTTTTTATAAATATATTGGTTATTCCCTCTTCTTATTGGAACACATGTTGACTTGTGGTGCTTGATTATTCCCTCTTCTTATATAGTAAATTTTTTATGTTTGAGAGTTAAACCAACTTTTTTTATATGTCTTTTAATCTTATATGTGTTTTGTCCTTTTCCATTTTCAAAAATTAATACTCTCTCTATTTTATTTTATATGTCATTTCTTTTTATAAATATATTGGTTATTCCCTCTTCTTATTGGAACACATGTTGACTTGTGGTGCTTGATTATTCCCTCTTCTTATATAGTAATATTTGAAGCTATATGTTAGAGAACTTGAGTTAACCTTCTCTTTTGTTTATTTATCTTAGCAGAAAAACTTCACATAATAATATCAATGTATAGTTACATAATTTATTATATTTTTATTTGAATTTTTAATTTATTTCATTCAAATTTTTTAAACACGTGATTTATATTTTTCTTACAATATATTTTTAAATTTTTAAAAAATAAAGGCACCAAAACGTGAGAGACAACATGAAACATGAATAAGGAATATGCATGCAACATAATACCTCTATTGCATTAAAAAATCAAGAATCTACATAAGAGTTATAAAAGAATTTACCACATGCATCATAAAAAAGAATTAAAGTCTAAGCATTGTAATATACATAAAATGAAATCTTATTTTTATGTGGATTTATGTTATGTGAACATAAATTGAAATTCAAGTGTTAGAAACTATTATTTATTTTTATTACAATTTTCAAATATAAAAGTGATTAATACAAAATGGATTTTCATTTACCATCTCAATAGAAAAGAAAGACATAAACGGAATTGAGAATATGTTCATCAATGTCAAAAAACATTGGTTGAGCAATCACTTTAGTGCAATGAACGTACAATTATCCCAAAAATACTTAAAAGAACACCTAGAACATTTAAGTTTAATTGTTTAAATTTTGTTAAAGAACACATTTTAATATTGAGAGCCGAACAAATTCAAAATTCAAATCGCTTACATGTTACTATATCATGGTACATTTTAGGAAGATCTAAAAGTAGAATAGTATTCATATCAACCGACAACATAAACTATAAATACAACAAAAGCTAAATATATTTCCTTTTAAAATTCAGATCGCTTCATGTTAATATATCATGGTACATTTTATGAAGATATAAGAAGTAGAAATAGTATTCATATCAACCGACAACATAACTATAATACAACAAAAGCTAAATATATTTCCTTTCAAAATTAAATAAGCACATTGATTGTATAAAACACACTTCTTATCTTAAACAAAATTAAAAAAACTCCTTTCGATTAATAGGAGAAACTATAAACTTATCTTAGAAGAAACATCAATGTAGTCTACATCTCTTTCTGAATATTCTTCTAAGCCAAGAAATCTTCTCTTCATTAACTAATCATAAAAAAATATATTCAAACAACACTAAAATCACCCAAAGGAAATGCAAATAGAAACATAGCCATGAACTAAGAAATTGCAGAGAGCGTATTTTGCTTGTTTCAACAAAAAAAAAACAATAAATATATATATATATAATGAAATTCTATTGTTTCAAATAACTGTAAAAAATTTAAATTTTGAAAAACAGTAACCAATTTTATTTTTATTTTTTAATAAAAATTTGTATTGTTGACATGTGTCATTCTAATTATAATTATTGACAGGTGTCTATATTTATTTATTTAATTATTAATTATTTAAAATTATTTAAAATTATGAAAATTTTGTGGTGTTGACATGTGTTAATTTTTCTTCTGCTTTTATATATAGATAGATTTTGAGTTTTTAAAAAAAATATAATATTGCATTTACTTGTTTCAAAACGCTTGTAAATGATCAAAATGGTCCTTAATGTATGAGCTTTGATTCCATTTGGTCCTTAATGTATGGAGTTGATGGAAATGGTTCTTTATGTATCATAAATTGTGATCAATTTGGTCCTTAACCCTAAAATTTTAATGGCAGCAAATATTTAAAATTTTTTTAACTAAAATCGCTACACGTGGAGCGATTTCCCATTATTTTTTAAGCAGTCCTCGCCTCGGGAATTTTTAATAAAAAAAATTTGAACTTTTTTAAAAAAATGGCTGCTATAGCAGCTATTTCTATTTTTTAAATGATGTTGGGGCAGCGTTGTTAAAAAAATAAATTCACAACAACGATTTTAAAGAAAAAAGAATTTTTTTTTTGGACCGGCAGCGATTTTTATGTTTTTAAAGGAGTAACAGCGTCAATTTTGTCAGAAGAAAATCGCTCCGTCAGAAGCGATTTTGCCTTTTTGGTTAAAAAAAATTTGATGTGTCATTTTGGAATTTTTGGAAACAAGGGAAGGAAAGTCTTGAATGAGTGCATCTTTTACATATTCCGTATATTTTGACGGCAAAATAAAATAAAATATTAATTTTAGGGTTAAAGACCAAATTGATCACAATTTATGATACATAAATGACCATTTTCATCAAGTCCATACATTAAGGACCAAATGGAATCAAAGCCATACATTAAGGACCATTTTGATCATTTTCTCCACTTTTTCAACTCAGCCATTTTAATGACATGTAAGCTCGGTCAATGGTCAGAGGAGTTTAAAATATTGTTTTTGGTAAGTTTAAGAGTTTAGTTGACAAAGTCATAAGTATAAGGGTCCAACTTACAAACGGTGTCAAGTAGGATTCAAAATAAATGATCAAAATTGATATATTTGTTATATATTAAAAATTATTTTAATGGAGTGAAATATATTAAAGATTAAAAAAGAAAAAAAAAACATTATCGGTACTCTTGTCAAAATTTGTGTCTAGAGATTCTTCGAGACATTCTGTGTGTAGAGATTCTTTGAGGCCACCTTGTCTCGAATGGTGCCTTGTTTCTTGGTAAAGTTTGGGAGTTGTGGTCTCCGTCTCCGTGGATCCTTGTTTATGGTGGAGTAAGGTTTCCCCTTTTGTTTGTTAATTAATTCTAGTGATGCCATGATTTGGTTATTTTTCTATATTGATCTGACTGTGACATCGCTGCTACATGTGCCCTCGATCTTCACTTATCTCTGTATATTTGTATCCATTGATTGCATTCTTATTGATTTGTGATAGTTGTATCTTCATCCTCTTTTTTTTTTTTTTCTTATTCCCAGGTATCAAATCAGTGATTTATCATTATTCTAAATCTGCATGTCTTTGCTTTTTTTTTGTATCTCTTCAATCCAATTGAATATATTCCAAGGTTGTTTCCATTCATCCGCAAGTATTCTTTGTAAAAACATTGAATATGGCTGGATGATATGATCCAAATGTTTGTGATTACAATACTTGATAGCTTCTAGGATGGATAGCCAGTGTCTCTGATTTTTTTATGACCGTGGTGTACTTGTAAGATTTCTATCAATGATTCGTGATTATATGAAGGAATTTAAGTTGAAATCCTTGGCGAAGGATGTTACCTTGAAGAAGAACCTTGGTTGAAAGTCTTACTCTGAAGAAGAGCCAGTGTATCAGATTTTGTATTTGTAGCATTTCCAATCTCCTTTGCTTGAGCATATGCTACTTTTTCTTCTTCATCTCTGATGCAAAAACTTTCTTGTATTCCCCCTTGATGCCCCATGGCCCCATCTGTGTTACAGATTACCCTTCCTTCTCGGGGGACATTCCAAACTACTTTAGTCACTTTCAGCTTAGGTTTGCACCTGTCCATCAAACGGATCAGATCATTCCTATCATGTGGTATTTGTTGAATGGATGGCTTTCTGAATTGGTTATATAACTCTTCCAACTCACCTCTTCTCCCCCCATGTTTTAATGTATTCCTTCTCTTCCATAGCTCACTTAGGATTATAGCAGGCCTGATAGATTGATTTTAGCCTGCCTGTTACAGAGACTTGCCACCATTTCATTAAAATCTGTTGTAATTGCAATCCATTTAGGTTAATACCTGCAAGAGACCAAAAAAAGGACCAAGTCCTATCAGTAGAAAAATATGTGGCAAATAGATGCTGGAATGTCTCCTCCTTAGGATTTGAGTAACACCAGCGTGTAGATACCATGTTATATCTTATCCTCTTAAAAGCATCATCTGGTGGTAGTTTGTACTTCCAAAATCTCCACATAAAGAATAAGATTTTTACAGGAAGTCCTTTAGTCCACATGTTCTAATAGGTCTCCATCTTCTGACCTTTGAGTCTGGATGTACTCCCAGGTTGAGCTCATTTAGAATTCCCCTCTTTTGTCCAGTAGCCACTATGGCCCGTCCATCTCCATTTTAGTATTTGGTGGTTGTATGGTCTCAGTGATGTGCTCCACCGCCTCCACTATATCCTCAGGTTGGACGAGCTATGTCAATTTCTCCTTATTCCATTCTTCATTGATCTGCAGCTCATTAACAATCTGAATTCTTTCATCTCAAGAGATATTTGGTGTGGCGTAGTACAATGCACCCAATCCTGTCCAGTTGTCATACCAGACTTGAGTATTTCCTAGTATGCCACCATATATGATGTTCTCTCAAATCTCTAGCCTTTAGCATTTTATTCCATGTCTGTGATCCATATTTTCATTGAACTCTGACTGAATTCTCCTCCTTTCAATATTTATTGCTTATGTAAGAATTCCACTGAGCGTTTTGTTGCGAAATTTCCACCAGAGTTTGCAATATAATGCCATAGAAACATCATGTAGAGATATAAATCCCATTCCCTCTTCCTGTACTAGTAAGTATATATGCGGCCAAACAGACCAATGTTATACTCTTCCCACCCACTGTATTACTCCAAAAGAACTGAGCATACATCCTGTGCATTTGATTAATCACACCATCTGGGGGATTCATTCCTGATAGTAGATGTATCGACATGCTTTGTAGGACATGTTTGATTAAAACAATCCTTCCTCCAAAAGTGAGCATCTTTCCTTTCCAAGATTGCTATCTGTTCATAATCTTAATCAAAGTAGCATTATAGAACTCCTTCCTTTTTCTACTGTAGTAGATTGGACATCATAAGTAGGTGAAGGGAAAGCTCTTTCTACATATTCCAGTAGTGATCTCCACCATTATACTGATGTCTCCTGTGACATTATGATGCATATAAATATAACTCTCTCCTTGTTAGTTTTCTATCCTGAGTTTAATTTCATATTTCCTGAGTAAAACCATAATCAGCCTAAGCGAAAACCGATCAACTGATGAGAATATGATCATATCATCTGCATAAGAAACATGATTGATCTCAGGCCTCTTTCTAGGCATGCCATAACCTATGAATTGTGGTATCTGGTTCAAAGTGTTGAGATTCCTTGTAAGTACTTTTGCTGCTTGAATGAACAAAGTAAGAAATAGTGGATCCCCTTTTTAACCTCCCCTAGAAGATTGGATGAACCCTTGTTGAGTACCAATTATTGCTTATGATTTGTAAACCCTATCAATTAGCCTATCTTCATTAGTGTCTTGGATAAACATAAACATGATAATCTATCATAAGTATTTTCCATATCTAACTTCGTAACCACATTAGTGGTCTTGGTTCTTAATCTGATTTGTTGAGATAATTTCCTGCGCCACTTGTATATTCTCAGCTATACTTCTTCCCTTCACTAATACAGCTTGATTTAGAGAAATAATATTCTCTAATCCATCTACTAGTCTTTCATTAATCAGTCTGAAAATTAAATATTTTATTCACAAAATTACTCAGGCTAATTCGTCTCATGACAGAGAAGGTAGTGATCAGATCCTTCTTTGGTATAAGAACCAAGATAGTGTGTGTAATGAATCTTGGTCACAGAAAAAGGCCCTTACCATATCTGAATGTCTTGTCCAGTGATTTCCCAATAGGTTTGATAAACTAAGCTTGTGAAGCCATCTGATTTCCCAACACTTTCTCTATTAAAGCTAAATATCACCTTCTTCACCTCCTCATATGTTGGCATTTCTTCAATATCACTATTCTGAGCCTCAGAGATCATACCTGGTACCTTTTTTTGAAATCAAAATGTCATACCTGGTCTAGTAGCTAAAAATTATCTGATTCTTGTTGAACTAGTTTTTGGAAAGTCTGACGCCTCCTCGGTTATTTCTTCAATGGTCTCCAATCAATTGTCATTCAGATCCTGTATTGCTCTGAGCTGTTGTCTCTCTCTTCTTTCTTGAACATATGCATGAAAGAATCTCGTATTTCTTTCTCCTTCCTGAAACCACTACATACCAGCCTTATGTTTCCAAAATTGTTCCTCCAAATGTAAATATTTGTTCAGGTCAGCTTGAACTCTATGAAGTCTTTCCCAGTTGTTAGGGGAGGATTGTGTCTCAAACTGTACCTCATGCACCTTATAACATCCTCCAATGCTTCTATTTCCTGCACTATGTTCCCAAAAGTGGTCTTACTGCATTGGGTCAGCGCTGCTTTAACCTTCTTCATCTTGTGGTGGAAACGTGTGAAGGGGTTGACCATAAAGTCTGATGTCCAGTTGGTCTTCACTATGTCTAGGAAAGTTTCATTCTTAGGTTTCTTAATAGGAGTGTTATTTCTTGAATAAGATATCAATAGGGGGGCATGATCAGACGCACTTCTAATCAAGTGAGTAATGTCAATACCAGGATATCTACTCTCAAGTAATTGGTTGCCCAAACATCTCTCCGGTCTTTTGGAAATACAATCCTCATTGATCTGACCATTGCACCATGCTCCCCTTGAAGCCTAAGTCATGGACTCCAACATTCTGTATACATTGGGTGAATTCTTGTATCTCCTGAACCCCAACAGTTAATTCACCATATTTTTCTTCAAGTGATGTAATAATATTGAAACTCCCTCCAGTTTAATTCACCAAAGACGTGCAATCATCCAAATGAAGAACTTTGAGGTGGTTTACATGAAGGAAGAAGAGAGTTCTCAAAAGTATTCTATTTTCCCATTTTATTTTATGTGTAAGTGTTAAAAAGAAAATCAAAAGATTTTTGTAACTTAAATCTTGATATGCAATAATACTTTGAAATTCTAAAATCATATTATTAAGTATAAAATAAAATCACATTGGCAAGTCTATAAGCACATCAGTGAATTTGGAGTTGAGCCGATGAAAGAAGAGAAGAAAACTAATGGTTGATTTCATGAATAATAAGGCAGGAACGGATATGAAGAATGATGGAATTGCTGCTGCAAACATTTCTGCTTTACATTGTATCGATCTCTCCAGCCCTGACATTCATACCTCTGTTACTCTCCTCAAACAGGTACCTCTCTCTATCTATCTATAGCTATATATATATATATACTAGTGGCAAAAACTCTGTGCTTTATATGGGTCCAATATTTATTCACGAAGTTATTCTTTTAAGCCGTTTCGATTAAATAAATTTAAATTTATCTAAAATAAGTTGTGTATATGTTTTTGTATGATAGTAAATCATCTCATTGAGTATAAAATGAATACTTACAAATACTATTAACATTGTAAATTTTAAGTGGTATTGATTAAATTAATTTGATTTTTTTTTCCAAAATAAGTTATATATATTTGTGTGATAGTAAGTCATTTATCTAAAATATAAGTTATATTTATGTATTTGTATGATAGTAAATCATGTAAGTAAAAACTGAATACTTATAAATATTAGTAACATTGAAAATTTTAAGTGGTGTTGATTATAATAATTTAAAATTTTATATATATATGTATTTGTGTGGCAGTAAATCATTTATATCTAAAATAAGTTACATAATAATTACCTACAAATATTATTAACATTGTAAATTTTAAGTAGTGTTGATTAAAATAATTTTAAATTTTTATCGAACATAAATTATATATATTTGTGTGGTAGTAATTTTTTTTCAAAATTTTGTGTCTGTGTGAGGTCCAAAAGCTCCTAATCTACTACTTATTGATACTACTAATTTACTACTTTAAAGAGGTAAAAGAGAGGAGCTTCCCAAAATGACCCTACTACCAAAAGCTCCTCTCTTTAGTTGCTTATGAATAAGTAGTAATATATATTATGCAATTGTATGTATTCATGTTTGTGTTTGATGAAGAAGCGTTGTGATCTTTATTGGCTATTTATCGAGGCTGATGGTAGCAGCTGTAAAAGAACAACTTATCATATAACGTTTGCAGAGAACGAATGAGCTATCTTGTGAAATTCACCTGAATTAGATACAGAGAGTTTAGGCTTCCTTCTTTTTATATAAAAATACCTTGAAATGTTCGAATAGTCTAATTTGAGGAGATTCAATCTGTTGGACAAATTGAAATTTCTGTTAAAACATGGAACCAAAAATTAGTTTGAAGCCCTCTTTTTTGTCCGTTACTTAATTTCAGTTTAAGTCATCCATTCTGTCCCTATCTAAAGTGATGCTAGGCTGCTTCACAGAGGTGCGCTTCGCTCCACCACATGATGAACATGTTTTTAGCTAACTATCGAGCGCTTAAGCGCAGCTTGTACTCGTTCCTCACTTGTTCAACACTACATACAATATTTCATTCCGGACCTCACTAGCTCTTTGCTTGCTTTTCAACTAACTAATGTTCGGAGTGGAAGTGCTCTTAATCATGCCATTGTTGTCCTGTCAAAACCTTTCAACATGAAGATTATTTTCTTTCCACCTAGCAGGAAATTACCTAACTGTAAATGATCAAACTTTGTCTCTCAGACATTTTTCCCCAAGTTCCCGCCCCCTGCAAGGGATAGGACCTGTATTAACTACATTTTATAGAATCACCACTATCTCTGCTTTCTTTTGTCACATTTCCTTTCTTTCGTCTTCATTTATATTCCATTGAGATATCTTATTGCTCCATTAGCTCATATGTGTTTGCTATTGGCCACAGGCTTGCTTAGATTCAGGATTTTTCTATGTTGTCAATCATGGTATTAGCCAGGAGTTTATGGATGAGGTTTTCACTCAAAGAAAAAAGCTCTTTGATCTTCCTTTGGAAGAGAAGATGAAGCTTCTTAGAAATGAAAAACATCGGGGCTACACTCCTAGTCTAGATGAACATTTGGATCCTGACAATCAAATAAATGGTATGTCTCCATCATCTCTCTTGTTCTTATTATTGTTGGATTAGAGTTAGAGGTGATATACCCAATGTTCACTGCACTACCAGTAGGATTAAACTAATTAAGATGAACCACAAAAATACCATAATAGATATACTTACAAACAAAAGATGACAAGTCTCACCTATACACCTACCTAAGAGAGAGAGTCAGAGAGAATGCTCATATGTGTAGGATGGTTAGACTCTAATATCTCTTTACTCTCGCAGTACAAAAATAATATAGATAGCTTATCATAGAACAGTGTGAAAAGTTACTTTAGCTGAGGCTACCTAGTGATTAGTCAAGATAGAGCTCACACAATAGTTTTGTCTGTATTATCTGAAAATGAGAATAGTGATGCATGCTTTTTAGTCATATTGAATGTTTTATGGTTTACTATCTTGTGTGAGGTCTTCCCATTACAAAGTTTTTATGGGTTAGTAATACACTATTTACTGGCAGTTAGCTGCATTCACACTGTAATATCTGCATTTGTCTTCACTTCCTTTAATAAATGTATGGCATTGGAATAAAAAGTAGGAAAATGCTACTTTTTCATTTAGTTGGCTGCTTTTTGATGGGCCTTAGGTGACTATAAGGAGGGATATTACATTGGTGTTGAAATACCCGAAGATGATCCTGAATCTCAGAGACCATTTTATGGGTCAAATGTGTGGCCTACTGCAGGTAACTTTCGAGGGGTTTCTAGTCATTCACCTGAGGAATACACAATGACCTTCCCAAACATCATTATTTTATGAAGCACTTAAAATTTAAATTGGTTAGTATTCTGAAAGGTACCTTGCCTGGATGGAAGGAAACTATGGAGAAGTATCATCAAGAGGCACTGTGAGTTACTGTCTTCCAATCATATTCTTTATACTCTCTAAGTTTTCATTATCTTGTTAATGAGCATATTGCATTAGATCTTCAAGTTTGTTTCCACCCCCGCATTTCTCATTTTTCTATCATTTGCTTCCTTTCTTTGACCTGCATCAGTGAGGTGACAAAAGCAGTATCAAGGCTCATAGCCCTTGCACTTGATCTTGATGTTGACTTTTTTGATCGGCCAGAGTTTCTTGGCAGACCAATTGCTATTTTGCGCCTACTGCATTATGAAGGTGAAGATGGGGAAATATCACTAGAGCCATCATGCTTTTCTATTTGAAGTGAATTGATATTTTGATTTCATGTCAAACTAGGCAAACTTTCTGATCCATCAAATGGAATTTTTGGAGCTGGTGCACATTCTGACTATGGTCTGATAACTCTTTTGGCCACAGATGATGTCTCTGGCCTTCAGGTCACATCATCAAAGTAGTTTGAATTTTCTAGATATATTTATTTGTTGTTGATGTGGAGCATGAACTCTTAAATCTGTTTCAGATATGCAAGGATAAGGATGCAGAGCCTCAGATTTGGGAGTATGTGCCACCATTGAGAGGGTGAGACATAATAAGTTTCTTAGTTCTATTCTCTAATTTGTAAGTAAATCACAAGTTATAACTTGTAAGGTTTGATATTGCTTAGAATCATGTCTTCTCCTGCATGCAGTATCCAACAAAGACAGCATGCCTTTTGTTAACAATGTAAAAAGTTAAGTCTGAATCATCTACAAAGTGAAATACAAGTTTCTGCCCTCTATTATCTAATGGACAAATTAGTTTACAGAAGAAAGTATTAGGGGGATATTGTGATTGACATTCTACTTACAGTGCTTTTGTAGTGAATCTTGGTGATATGCTTGAGCGCTGGAGTAATGGTATTTTCAGGTAATATATGATGGTTGTGCATGTTGAGACATGGCAATATTGGTTTCACTATCTTTTTTCTAAAAGTAGTATATAATCCCCCGTCCCCAAATTATTTGGCGATCTTTTCTAATATCACTAAGATCCTTCGCTTCTAAAAATCGTACCTTTTTTCTTGTCAGCTAACTTTTTGCTCTTCTGTTCAGGTCAACACTGCATCGGGTCCTTGGAAATGGTCAAGAAAGATTTTCTGTAAGCCCTTGAATGGTTTTTGGATGCTTTCATATTGAAATATTATAAATGACCTTTTAGAAGAGTCTGGAAAGAAATGTCTTTAGAATGTTATAATATAATATATTTTTCTAATTATGTATGTAAGTGAATGGAAGGAGATTTGTCAATACTATATATATATATATGATATAACTTGTCCAAAAGATGATTAGGTTTTTTTTAACATATTTATTAGAGTATAATGATTTAGAGAGCTGCATTTACTTGTTCTAACTGGAGGCATCAATGAATAGCAAATTAGCTCTTACTCTTCTTCATGTTGTGCAGATTGCATATTTTGTGGAGCCAAGTCACGACTGTCTTGTTGAATGCTTGCCAACCTGCCAATCAAAAGTCAACCCACCGAGGCAAGTAATATATGTGGCACAAAACTAAGCTATCATACATTTTTGGGAAATTACATCTGATATGTATTTGTCTTGAAAACATATTTCATTGGTTTTTAAAAAACATGAGATTTTTTTTTGCTTTATAAGAAATCCTTTATGTCCTCAGTATTATTGCTTACTGAAGTTGTTGTCTGGTTGCTGCTCTATCAGGTATCCTCCAATCAAATGCGAGACCTACTTGCTCCAGCGTTACAAAGACACTCATGCTGATAGAAATTCTTACAAATGAGATTCTTGGTAACTGCTAAAATACAAATGCCACCGCAACATTTCTTGCACATATGGTTTAATGTTCGACACTATGGTTTTATCTGTATCTGAAGTTACTTGAGAATGTGTGTGATAGAATTGTATAATGGTTTATAATTCACCATGGAATAGGTACATTTATACAACTTTGCTTACTTTTGCTATCTACTCATCCACTTTTGTAAATCAGGGAACAACTGTTGTACAAAGACTTCTACAGATAATACTTTTTAGTTTTTAGTGAGTCATTCCTATATGCAATGATGGAGGAGCTGGGATCAGCAGAATTCTAACCAACTGCTTACTCCAACAGTTTGGATTGAAGAATGTCAAGGACATGTGTAGATTTTATAGGGTTTGAAAAATGAAACTTCATATTAGTACTTTTAATAGCCATTCAAAAATGAAGTTTTAGAATTTTGCTGTTATCATAATGGTACTTCTATTTTGCTCATTTATTTCTATCTAATTTTTTATATGATTTTACTATAGTTGTCAATTGTCGTAGTCTAAATATAAAATAAGAGTAAAGAGAAAAAAATAGAAAATATTTTTAATTATTAAAGAAATATAAAGGTATTGATTTTAGTTAACCATTAAATTGACCTGCTTTTTTTTATTGGAATGACTCATTCAAAAAATTCTACGCAAGCCATTTCTATTAGAAATATCGTATGTATTAGTTGAGTGACTTTGTATTTGAAATGACAATAGTAAGTTGCTCTATAGGTGAAGTAATAATAGTACAATGACTTTTTTATTACAAAATAAAATCACTTGCTATAAAACAATGTCACAGATCACTAATAGTGTTGTCTCATATAACGATACATCTTCGCAACACCGAGATGGATAGAATATTTGGAACAATGGGACTCCTGAAGAATCAACCCGACCAAATATTCAACACGAATCAACTGTTGCAACAGATATAACCATCTGTTGAAAACGCGGATGCAAATTATTGAAAAAATTGCAGGTATACCCAGATGATGATGAATGATTCTAAGAACTATTAATCTTACTTACCAAATAATGGTGTGTGAACACAATCACTTATGAAGTAATGCCAATTGATACCGAACGAAATCTGGTCCAATAATTAGCTAAATCTGATTCAAGAAGAAGATAAGAAGAAGAAGCACAAGGAATAGCAGCCAAGACCAACAATGTACGAACAAGAAGAAGAAAAAGATGAAGAGAACGGGAAGAAGAAAAAGATGAAGAGAACGGGAAGAAAGCAAGCAAGAAGGAGGAGGAGGAGGAAGAGGAGGGCAAAGACGAGGAGGAGGAGGAGGTAGAAGAAGAGGAATCCGGCGGGGAGGCGGGGGAAAGCTTTTATTTCCCCTTTTGGTTCGCTAGCTTCCCTCCATTTTGGTTCCCACCAAATTTGGTTAAATTAGGTTTTACCCTTTTACCCCTCATTTAATAAAATGGACCAAACTGTCAACTTAAAAACTTGAGGGCAACTCCCACAAATGTCTCATAAATCCTTAATCCTTAATTACATAATTGCCACCTACACTCAATAATTAAAACTTATGTCATCGCCATTTAATTTTGACACCTTAATTCAAAATCCCTAGTTAGTTTGGTTCATATCTATTCATATCTTTTATTTAAGTATGATGTCCATTTTATTTTACTAGTATAGCTCTGTTTTCTTTCTCTATTTGCAGATTACATTCCATTGTTGATTAGTCTGATTGATAAATATATTTGATTATTTTCCTTGTTTTCTTGTAACATTTTGGTGAAGTTCATGTTGAGTTTTAGCTTAATTCAAATTATCATTCTCAATTATGTTGGTTACATTTAATGTTATTAATTTGATCGACAAGTTATTAATGTTTTGCGCTTTTTGATGGGTCAGACATGGATTAGCATATTAGAAGATTATTTCCTTTATGTATTGTTGTTGTTTCTAGGTTCTTGTGTATTTCTTGGATTGTTTTAGAGTCATTTTAATACTTATTCATTTTATTGAATTGTTAACAAACAAGTTGAAATTGGCCAATGAAAAAATTTGTCCATCGATTTTTGTGGTCTCCCCATTTTAAAAGGCGGAAATTTAGTTTAAGTTTTATTATATGTTATACGTTACAATTAAAATTGGCCAATGAAAAATCTCTTCTTCGATTGTAGAGGTCTCCCCATTTTTAAAGATGAAAATTTAGTTTATATTTACATTCTTTGTATGTTAAAATTGGCCAATATAGAAATTACTGTCAATTTCCAAGGTCTCCCATGTTCATAAGACGGTTTTTTATTTTTTTAAGCTATTATTTGATTCATTCATTTTTATTCATATTTATTTATTACTAACACTTTTACTAAGTGTATTTACAGGTACCTAGAGTTGCTTCCAATTGAAGCTATTCGGATGGAGTTCGAATTATATTTTTTATTCATTATTGTGTATATTATTTACGTTAGGCAAACCTTATGTCGTTTCTTATATTATTGTTTTATTATTTATCACATGTTTATTATATTTGTACATTATTTTTATCTCCTCCTCAATTTGAAAAAATGAATACAGTTGGGACCCATAGTTGTGGATTTCGAAGGATGCCTAATACCTTTCCTTCGAAATAACTTGAACCCTTACCTAGAATTCATTGGTTTCGTAAACATTATTTTAAGTTAATTAATTAATCGTTTTCCTAGTTGTTCTAAAATTAGGTGACGACTCCTTTTAAAATTCTTTTATTCTTTTAAAATTTAATTAATTTTGTGTGTCACCGCGACGTTGCCTCTTCGGGATATTAACAGCTCTATCGACATGTGCATAGTTGGATGTATCACCAACTCATGGAACTGCCTTATACTCTACAACTGATAGTGATCCCAGAGTTAGGTCTTTGAATTAATCCCGCAACCACTTCCTCAGGCTACGAGGTACATACTTCTCTAAGAAAGCCTCAGAGAACTGAGCCCATGTCATCAAAGGTGACTCGACTGGTTTGTACTTTAAATAAGATATCCACCAATGCTACGCTGGAACCTCAAGGTGGTAAACAGTGAAATCAACCCCGTTGGACTCCACCAACCCGAGGTTATGCAACCTCTCCTAACAACTGACTAAAAACTCGTGGGCATCCTCACCTACAACACTGATAAACCTAGAGGGACCTAATCTAATAAACCTTCCCAACATCTTCTGCTCCTCAGAAGTCATAGATGGCCCAGGAACCAGGAGCAAAAGTCACAACCTGCTGAACAATTGTACGAGGAGCTACAATAGCATAATGTGCTTGTGGGTCTCGAACACCCAGTGCCCCTGCCTAGGCCTGAGCATCCTCTCTAGTCTGGGTGCTATTGAAAGGCTAGGCATAGTACTTTATTAGATAAGTGGCCTACATCAACATATGAAGAGTAATATTTTTTTATATTTTTTATTTACGACTAGCATTTATAATTTTTCATTAGCAATTTAGCATAATACAAAAAAATTTGTAATGAGATATTAACTCAATATTATTTTAGTTCTAGTTTATACAATCATGAGTGATACTTTTAGTTATTATCTTTAATGTTTAATCTGTTATGTTCAATTTATATTATTATTATGTGATGTGTGCTAAGTTTAAAAAATAAATTTAATGCTTGTCAAGAAGTCAATTTAATATATTTTCATGTAACTTATAGCGACCGAGACTTTTCCTTGTAAATTTTTTATATTTCTGAATTAATTTATCTTGTAAAATATGAGAGAATTTGTCACCATTTTAAAATTATCAAATTAACGAAAAACTAGTGAATTATTACCATTTACAAATTTGAACGTCATCAAATTTTTGTTATTTTTAATTGTATGATTATGGATGAATTTTATTATTATTTGAGATATTTTATTATTTTTTCAATTTATACGACTCTAATTTTAAAAATAATATCAATATATGACATAATTAAATGTCCTCAAATATTTGTGAATTACTGACAAAATTTTTATCATCAAAGATAACTTTTAGCAACGACTAGATTAAACTTTTCAAGACAAATATTATTATCACAAAATAAATTAGTTCATCACAAGTTGGCTACATTTAGTGACAATATATATTGTAACTAATCATGATAATTTATAGTAATAGTTATATCTTGTCGGTAAAAAAATACTGTTAGTGACAAGATGATAGATTTCACTACAAAATTATCAACCTTTTTTATAATGATAATATTGTCCATGATTTATACATTTTAGGATGAAACAATTTTTGGTATATAAAAAGCAATCATTAGTGATAAAATTACATTTCTTCAACTACGAAATATATATAGCTTTAGAGACAGTTGATGTCATCACCTATTGAACTAAATAATTAGTGAATGTACTTTTATCGATAATATTAATAATTTTTTTAGTGACAAAATCATAGAATTAACTACAAAAAAATTACACTTTTTGTGACAAATAAATTCGTCACAAATATTAACGCACTTGGAGACAATTTTTCTTTTTGTAGTTAATATAACCTTTTTAGTGACGATGCCCTAAATCGTTTATGTATACTTTTAGTTAACCACGTTCAGTGTGGACTGATTGACGAAATTTTTTTCTTCACACAAGATCTTTGGTGACGAAATATGATTTATAAGTGACGAAATCATTTGTGCTTGATAATCAAATTTTGTTGTAGTGATGTTAAAGGCTTTATAGACGAGCCAATTAAGTCTTATTATCAATTATTTTATCAACATCTCTTATTTAAGATTTATTACCTATAAGTTATTGAAGTGATTTTCTACTGCAGTTGCATGTACACCTTTTGCATATTTGTCCAGTCTTCAATTTACTAGTAAGCTAGACCAAAAGTTCGTTTGTGACCAATAATAGTTGTGAGTGTTGGCTTTGTCCAAGGTATAAGCTCGAGACGTGATAAAGATTCACCTGAGTATCCAACTCCTTCTGCATAAACCACCAAAGATAAGATGTAAGTTGTGTGCCTCGATTTTAAATAATAGAACTGGACACCCCATGCAAGCGAACTATCTCTCGAATGTTGATCTTGGCTAACTTCTCTGAATTACTAGTCTGAACCAGTATGACATGTGCAAATTTAGTCAATCGATCCACAATGACCCATTTAACATCAAACTTACCCAAGATACGTGGAAACTTTACCACAAAGTCCATAGCAATCCACTACCGCATCCACTCTGATATGGGCATCGTTTGAGTCGTCACACCTCCAGACTTTTGGTATTCATATTTCACTTGGTGATAATTTAAATACTAAAATACAAAATCTACTATGTCTCTTTTCATACAACACCACCAAATCTTCAAGTGATTAGCAACAATCTTTACATATTATTTTTTTACGAAAAATGGCCTAAAATGTCCTCAACTATCCCCTCGACTATTTGAATTGGTACAAAACTACCCTCCATCCACCTTTCGACCCCAAATACCTCTTACGTCAACCTTTTGGTTCAGAAATACCCTCGATATTAACCATCCGGCTCATATTTGCCCTTATTATTAACGGCTTTCCTAAAGTTAAATAACTAAATATTTATTTATTATGTTGCCTAATCTGATTGGTGCAAATTTAAACCCTTCTCAAATAAATAATAATAATCGCATATAATTGATATTTTGACACGATACGCTTTAAAGTAACATTCAAAAAATGATTAATTTCATAATATCTTTCTATTGACCTATTTCAAATCAATACCGAATTTATAATTATAGCCTAACTCATAGCTTGGGATCCATCTAAAATCTGCATATGAATGTCCATATAAGAAAATATTTTTCTATTAATATGAAATTTTCTATTAATTATTCAATTGTCTTATTTATTTTCTCTTTTATTTCTTTTTTCATCTCTTATTCATTAGAATGTCAGATATTTAAACTTTAAATGAACTTACATGTTCGTATTCTTTTAATTTATATTATTACTATGGTGGGGTAGGTTAGGGAGAGGAGAAAAATTATTCTTATTTGTTTATTTTAAATTTGGATACACACAAAAGAAAAAATGTTATTGAATTATCTTTTATTAAATCAATTATTTCTATATAAATTTCCTCGTTATTTTCCTTCTTTTTTCTCCATTGTTTTGTCATAAGTTTTAAAAAAATTAAATTTAAAATAATGGTCACGATCCAAAAAGAAAAGAAAAAGTAAAAGAGAGAGTAAGTAGGGGGAATGAAGTGATTTTACTATGAAACTCGAAATTAGGTTAATCATATGAGCACATATATTAAGTGATTTTAAATTATTTTAATGGATAAGTGCCTAAAATATTCTTAAACTATGAGATTTGGTACAATATTGTCCTCTCATCCACCTTATGAGTGCAACCCGTTAGAAAATAAGAGTACGTTTGAGCCAAAAGGTTGACATCATAGGTATGAAAGCTGAAAAATAGACAAATGGTAATTTTGTATCAATTCAAATAGTTGAAGTATATTTTAGTTTCTTTTCCATTTTTATAGTTTACAAGCTATTACTCAAAAGAAAGAAAAAGAAATAGGGTAAGTAGTAATTTACTTTTACTATATTGACCAAAATCACCCTTAAACTATACCTAAACTTAAATTACATCCTTAAAGTATTATTTTTAGCAGAAAAAATCCTTCAAATATTTGAAAGTGAACAATTTTCACCCTTCTACTTGAATTTATCAGAAAACTAACTGATCCCACAAATCAAGTCATCCATTCGTAATTATTATTCTTAGATACGCCAAAAATACTATCATGAACTTGTTCGATAATTGAGTTTAGCATTATGCAAGATCTTTTAATTTGATAGTTTTTTTTTCATTTACTTTTATGTAATTTGATATTAAAAATATTATTAATTGAAATATGTTTCTTCTCAATTGAATATGCTAGAAGCGACGCTTGTTGGAGACTTCAGCTTCTAATAATGTAGAATGAAACTCAAATGCGAGACATAAACAATATTTTGATCACTTTAATTTCAGATTGACCCAAAAATTTATTGATTTAAATACAGTTTGGCTATGAAAAATGTGAAGATAATTAAGCTTCAGCTTCATTTTATTACTAAATAAGAAAAAGAGCAGATGTGTATCCACACACGTTCCAAACATTTTTTATTTCAATAAGAAATAATGTCTAAGATTTTTAATATTTCTTTCAAGAACTTCTTATAGAAGGTAATGAAGTTATACATGAAGACTTTTGTTGATAGTCACGTGAAATGCTCATGTTTTTGTAGGATCCCATAATTTTTTGACGATATCTAATAGAAGGATGAAAAATGTTTAATTTTAAATATTTGAAGAATGTTTTCTTGAATAATATTTTAAGTTTGGGGCATAATTTAAGTACGAAAAACTTGAAGGAAGGCTCCTAATAAAGGAAGAGGAAAGGCATAAGGAAGAGGTGGAGGTGCGGCAGCCGTTTACGGAGAAAATAACAAACCCCGTTAATGGAAAATCAAAGTGACAACTCCGATGAAAAACCTAGTAGCGATACAATGTCGGAATCAGCAACGGTCCTTGATCTTACGAGTTTCCAGCTTCACGATCTGGACTCAGTGGAGCTTCCTCCAAGTCTCACCGAGTTAGACTTGACAACGAATCGTTTGTCTGCTTTAGACCCCCGTATTGGCCAACTCCCTAACCTCAAGAAACTCTCTCTTCGTCAGAACCTCATAACCGATGCCGCCGTTGAGCCTCTTTCCTCTTGGCAACTCATTTCTCACCTCGAGGTATGTATTATTCACTGTACATGTCAACTTGCGGATTTATTACCATAATACTTGTTGATTTGCAAATTGGATTGCAGTATTTAACTGATGAAACAAATTTTGAACATCAAAATAAATGTCATATACCACACGGCACACACAGTGGATTGAAAATGAACCTGAATAGCCCTAAACAGAACTAATTTGGACAGAGGTCTAGTTCATTTATTGATTTTGTTGGCAGCATTTAGTTGCTCAAGAAATCTTGGATTTTGGCGGTTAGAATGAAGATTACCTTTAAATTACAAGTGGATTTTAAATTTTGGTAGAATTGTTCCACAGATGCCCATGATAAAAGAGCAAAATGTATACCTCAAATCACATGAAGAAATATTGTCTCAAAAAGGCCTATTGTTTCTCCCAACTTCATTCAAATTTAGTTAAGAATAGAATACAATGGAAACTGACGATTGTTGTTTCACCTATATTAAGGCTGGTGTTTGCCGGAGTCCATTTATTTTGGTTTTGACTTGAATGCCTGTGTAGGGATAAGAGCGAGTTTTGTAGAAAATCAGTTAGTATAAAAATAAATACACCTGAATAGAGGAGTCGATGTAGAGGATTTATACAGTAGACCTCAATTGAGTTGGAATTGAGACTTAGTTGACTGATTGATAGGTTTACGTAGAAAAAGATAACCTTATGAGCTAAAACTGCTTAGAAAGAGACAATGATGAATCTTTGGCTATCTGTATGGTTGGTAGTACTAGCCTAGCTTGCACTTTGATTTGTGAATTCAATGATTCCACAACCTATGTTGCTCGGTCTTCAAAAACAGGGCATTTTGGAGGACCCGACATGGATGCGGCAACATTTTTGCAGAGTCCGAGCAACACAAAACGCAACTTGCTATCTAACCTACTATGTAATTGGAAGTGATGTAGGCTTTAATTGGTTCATAATATTGATGTACCATAAGATTTTTTTTTAAAGATTTTGATTACTATTTAAGGGGATTACTTTCATATTAATTACACCATTAAAATTTTATGTTGATTGAATGGATGTGCATTTGGATAATATTTTTCTTCCAATGATAACGATGATCTTCAAATAGAAATAGTGAAACTTTTTTACTGAAGCATTAAATTAGATAAAATTTTCAGTATATTTGCATGCGTTATAACTGCATACTCATTGATCCAGATAAAATACTGAAACAATGGTAGTTTCTTGTCTAACCTTATCAGTATGGTTACAACACTGATTAATATTTAATGCAGTTCAGTGATACTGCAATTGCCTATCTAACCTAAATTATATTTAAGTAGTGTAGGCTTCTTTTGGATAACATTGATAAACCTTACTGAGCCATGATTGAAAGATTACAATTTTAGGGTTTGTTTATTATTTTTGATAAGCCAGAAATATTCCTTTAATGGACTACCAAGTCTACTTGAAAAATATGTTCATAATGTTTGTGTTGCTCGACCACATATTTATCAGGTTAACCCAATTCTCTATACAAAATAGATTCTCTTCTTATGCCAAAGGTATAATGAAATAAAAACAAACTTATGGACGCTAGCTGGCCGGAGAACTAGCATTATAAAGAAGAAAAAGAACTGAGTACAAACCTCTTACATTATTTTGGAATTATTTCCTATTTCTTTTGATAATAAATAATCTCCTGTTTCTTTCTATCCGTATGATCCTAAAGAAGCACATTGGTGTCATTCTCTAAGTTACCTTACTTTACCTTCAAATTTTCTATAACCTCTAGCTTGTCAATATTCTTAAGAACACTACCCTTTGGGGTGGCCCAGTTGTTTGAGCTTGGGACTTCCATGTTGGAGGTCTCAAGTTCGAAACCCCTTGCCAGCGAAAGCAAGGGTGAGCCTAGTGCGGGTTACCTCTCTTGTGTGGTTTGCGAGCTATTGCATAGGAGTGAGGGTTTTATCTTGTGCGCACCCAAAGAATAGCGGCTGCGAGTTTCCCTTGTCATAAAAAAAATAATTCTTAAGAACATCGTGATATGTTAAATAAAGAAATCACCTAATATAGCAGTAAAATTTTAATATAGTGATGTATGATTTATATCCTTCCCGTGCCTGCATAGAAAGCACTAACTTGTAACTATTCGCTGTCACCCTAAATTATCTACTGTTAAAATTGCATCATGCACAGTGCACCAAGTCAAAAGACATTTTTTTGGAGCTTTAGTATCCAAAATGTTATTTTGTACCTCCCTTTTCTCTCCAATTCCTATTAACTCCATGTGTGAATTTATTTTGTGAAAGATTTCCCACTTGCTCCTTCTTGTTTTCCTCCCTCCCTATTGAGGAGCTCCCTGGCATCCTGTTCTCAGTGGCCCTCATAAAGCTTGTACTTCATGTGACCCTTGTTGTTCTTTATTAACTTATTGGTTTCCATAGCCTCCATCCTTGCTAGTCTAACAGTGGTTATGCATCCTTCAACAAAGTCCTTTGTATCAAGGATGCACTTAGTTCCCTATAACTACTTATTGGGCTAAGTCTTTGGGTGTCGATTGTTATTATATTGATGGATGATTAGGAGCCATAGAGAAAGTGGAAAGAGAGATGACAAACTAGAAAATTGTACTCGTCCTTTGCATTCAGACAATGTCCGGGATTTGTTTCCCCACCAACATGGTTGGTGTCCTTATTTCCAATTCCTACATCCTCGATAGGTCATAAAAGACCCTTAACTTCCTCTTCCTCTTAATCTCAAAATCCATTGGCAAGAGCTTATATAAGATGCTCACTCGAGTAGCCTTACAGTACTTAATATCACATGTTCTATGGAGTAAGTAATTTATATGAGTCTTGGCCACTGATCACATGTTGATCTTACGGAGTACAATGGCTAAGACTCACATAGATTACTTACTCCTTAGAATGTGTGATAGAAGTTTATGTAAGGACTGCAAGGATATCTCGAGTGAGTATCTTATTATCCAACATAAGCGTTTGGCAATGGATTTAGTGATTAAGAGGAAGAGAGCCTTGTATATCTATTAAGAATCAAGTGGTGTGACTTGTAAATTGCCAAATCGTAGGAGATGAGGGAGTAGTGGGGATGCTGGTAGTAGGGGGGATAGGACATCTGATTGCATTAATGAAGTAGCTAGAGAGGTGTTGAGAGTCTCGAGGGGTAATGTTGGAGGGGGATTGGTGGTGGATGGAACAGTCTAAGGGAAAGTGAAAGCCACGAAGGCTGCTTATATGGAGTTGGTGGACAGCAAATACGAGGAGGAAACGAGGGTAAGTAGGGTGAGGTATAAGGCGACAAAGAAGGAAACGAAGTTAGTTGTTACAACGGTAGCATTTGAATGCTTGTACGAGGAACTTCAGGATAAAGGTGGGGGATAAGAAGTTGTATATGCTCACCAAGGTGAGAGAGAGGAGGGCTCGAGACCAGTGTTTTGGGAAGTGAGAAGCGGAAAAGAGCAACGAGGGCTCGCTTAAGTGTGAAATGAAGCACACACTTTTTCAAAAAAAACAGTATTTAGTATTAAAATAAAAAATATTAAATATGTATAGATAAATAATCAAGAACTGAATAGAGGTTACATATTCTTAGATTAAAAAGTAAATAGATAGTCAATAATCCTGATAAATCATAACATATAGAGAAAGAACATAGCAGTAGCCAGCAAAACAAAAAAAGAAAACAACAGAGCATACACATTACGAACAGTGCAACAGAGCAGTAACTTAGAACCTCAAATCAGAAGAAAAAAGAACAGAGTAACACTACTTGAGTAGCATTACAAACAGAAAATTGAAGTAAAAAAAACCCTAGTTACCAGAGAAGAAGAGAAACATATGCAGTACTGTAGAGAAACAGGAAGAGAAGAAGTGAAGAAGAGAAGAGAACTAACCTGTAGCAGCAGTCGCAACAGTCGACCAAGGAGGGAAAATAATTGGAAAGATATGCGCAAGTATATTTACAGACATTAAAAAAAAACCCTAATTAGCGCTTATCTCATTTAAGCGAGGTTTTTCTTGCTTTTATAAAAAGCGTGCTTCTCGCTTTTGGGACAGAAGCGGACACTTTTTTATTATCGCCTCAATTCAAGGCATTAAAGGGCAACTCTGTCGCCTCGCTTTGCTTCTCGCTTAAAGCGAGCGCTTCAGCGTTTTTAACAACACTGCTCGAGACAAGGACCAAGTAAAGTGTATCAAAGATAAGGAAGGTAAAGTATTGATGGAAAAGGCACACATTAGACTAAGATGACAAGCATACTTCCATGAACTCTTGAATGAAGAGGGGGACAAGAATGTTGTGCGGCGATTTAGAGCACTCTGAGAGTTGTCGAGTTTTTTGGTACTGTAGGGTATAAAGTTTGATGGGGTGAAGGAGGTTATTTGTAAGATGAGATGGGGAAGGGCCATCGGGCCAGACGAGATCCCGGTGGAATTTTGGAAAACACAGAAAAAGGATGTATGGAGTGGCTAACTGAGTTGTTTAACGTTATCTTTAGGACGTCAAAAATGCCCGAAGAGTAGAGATGCAGTATAGTGCTCCTGTTGTACAGGAACAAGGGTGATATTCAAAATTGCAATAACTATACGGTATCAAGCTGCTAAGCTTCTTATTGTCTATTTGCTTGTCTGCAACTGTCTATTTTAATAAGAGTGAGCCATTGCCTCCTCTTCACTCCCCTGAAAGTTGACCGCAAATTATTTGCCGAGTTTTATCACATTCAGGTATACCCAAAGTGACACATCCAGTTCCCCTTCAATTCCCCCCTACATTGTTTGTATCTTCAGAGGTTCAGTTTCTTCTACTGTCCATATTCCCAAGATTTTTGTTTCAATCATTTGCATGTCCCCTCTGTTCACAAGGATATCTAGATTTGGGGTCTCCCCTTCAATATTTGTCATACCAGCTTCTTAATTATCAACATCTTCATGTATATCCAACTCTTTCGAGTTCTGAAATTGTAGGTCTTCTTCTCCCTTGTCTTGAATTTCCATGTTTCCAAATTCTCTTTCATTGTTCTGCATGTTAGCCTCTATTTCATCCGTTATACGGTCATATTTGTCACATGCTTCACAGATATTAGATTTTATAGTGTCTTGAGTAAATCTGGACCGGAATCAGAAACTTCCCTGTTATTAAATGAAGTATCCTAGGTCAGCCCAATAAAAAGACCAGCACCTATCTGCCCCCTTACGTTCATGCGTCTCTTTTCGCAAAAGAGAGTTGCAGGTCTGTTTACACCCGTCAAGACCCACGTGATAGCCCATCTTTATATTACAGCTGTTTGACCTAGCAGTTTCATTGTTTCTCTCAAGTACCCAACAATCCTCCAAGCTTGACAGTGATTCTTCTCTGGCTATTACAAAATTCACAACCAAATTGGTATGATGAAACTTTGCCTTTTCACTTCAATTGTCACCTCATTGAGACACTCTTCCCATCAACTCTTCTCTTTTATCTTGCCCATTTCAAGTGATTCTTTTGTTTCTGAAACGTTTCCTATGTTTCCAATCATCCACCATAGTGATCCCCGACAGTTTTGAATATTGTTTTCGTCCATAAAGTAGGTGTAAAACTGCATACAATGCACATACCACTCTCCTCAGACCCCACATGTGGCTTGTTGAAATGCAGAGGTAAACCCATGGATCAAATCCACATATCGTCTTTCCTGTCTATCTGAGCAACACCCAAAAGACAGATGCCACCACTCCAGAGGGATTTTTTCTTTCTTCCACCTCCATTCTCCTTGTAGAACATGTTCAGCCATGTGTTTTGTTGGGAATCCGAAGAGGAAAAAATTGTTCCCCTTATCATATGTATTCACGGCAAAGGTGTTTTTCCATGTGCTTACAGACCATCTTCGAACGTCCGCTAAGGTTGGCTTTCCATCCATTGTGTTGAAAAAGCCCACCTTGCATCTACCAAGCAGATCAGTCTCACAGTTTCCGATTCCGTCAATCACAACGATTTTGTTAATACTTCCTTGGGATGTTTGTAATCAATGACCCTGTATCTTCATTAGTAGATCTGTCGATCTTAATAGCAATATCCCTCCATCCAATATCAATTGTAACCTCTAGATAATAATGACTGATATGTTCTCTCCTTGTACACAGGGTATGTTGTTTTTGCTGTCGTATGTTCTCTTTGTGCTGTCACATTTTCTCCTTGTACACAGGGTATGTTGTTTTTGCTGTCGTATGTTCTCTTTGGGCTGTCACAATGCTTATAAATCTGCTAAACATGTTGTTCCTTAAGCTTCCATCTTCTCATGTGCTTTTCTTTGTCCTTTGATGCTTCCTGCAATGCAAAACATAACCATTCCATGGTTTTCTTGCTAAACGTGGTTCTACGCATGAGACTCCTGCTTCTTTCCACCAAGTCAAACCATACATCCGTCCTTGATTTGGTTCTCGTGATATCATATAACTTGAATCCAGCTGCAAAATAGACTATGTTCTCCCCCATGTTGCTCTGAAACTTTGCATTCTCTAAAAAGGACACTGGGAAACCAGGTTTCAGCCAGAAAGGAAAAGGTCTTTCTCTTACCTCGGTTAATGTGCCTGAGAGCATTTCTCTCTCTAACAGACATTTTCTAGTATCACCATCATGGTTGGAGGGGCTTTGCTAGGTGCATCTTGGAATTTTATGTATGTTAAGTCATGTGTTTTTTCCCCACCTAATTTCACACTCCAATTCGGAGGATGGGAGGGAATGTGGGCAGAGAATTGAATCTCTTATATAAAGGTCGTTTTCTTCTGTTCTTCAGTCTAAGTTGCTTTACAAAATGATCTTAGTTTCTATATCTTAGGAGAGGGAAAATATAAGTTCTTTAGCATTTTTAGTGATGTTATAGTGTTGGTTAGTCAGAGATGCTCAACAGATTCACCTCTGCAAGTTGAATACTAGTGTGTAGCGAGACAACTTGGCAGTTTTTCGTCCTTTTAATTTTGTTTTTTAAAGCTTTGAAAGTACCTAAGCTTAAAAAATGCTTAGTAACAACAACTTATTTTCAGACTTGAACTTTCAACTGGTTTGCTTCTTGTATGGTAATCTGATCGTAGATGCGACAGAAACAGGCTTGTTAAAGTTATCTGAAATCATGCCTGTGGAACTGTCTTCTCCAGGAGCTAGTGCTTAGGGACAATCAGCTGAAGAAAATTCCCGATGTTGTGATATTCAAGAAGCTTCTGGTATTTGATGTTTCTTTCAATGAGATATCATCACTTAGTGGATTGTCCAAGGTCTCCAGTACACTCAGAGAACTATATGTGTCTAAAAATGAAGTCACCAAGATGGAGGAGATTGAGCACTTCCACGAGCTGCAAATACTCGAACTTGGGTCCAATAGATTACGGGTTAGTTTTTCTTGAAGATGACATCAAAAGAAATTATATAGTTATCAACAGTTTACACTTGTAAATTTTTTATCATAATAGTTTTTGTAAATGTGAGTATACTATGTAGCTTCCCTGGCTCCGTGGATACCTTTGAAGTGCTTTGTTTCTTGATTCAGATTATGGAGCTTCTGGAAAATTTGAAAAATCTACAAGAGCTTTGGCTTGGACGCAATCGTATTCGAATAGTTAATTTGTGCGGTTTGAAATGCATTAAAAAGATTAGCCTGCAGAGCAACCGTTTAACTTCCATGATTGGGTTTCAGGTCCTGATATCTAACAGTTGTGCTTTGTCATTGTAGACGACTTCATTTTAAGAGTGAGTTATTTTGTTGTTTTTCAATCTGCAGGAATGTGTTGCCCTTGAAGAATTATACTTGAGCCACAATGGTATTGCGAAAATGGAAGGTTTGTCTACCTTGGTAAACCTGCGGGTCTTGGATGTATCAGCAAATAAGCTTACAGAAATTAATGACATCGAGAAGTTGACTAAGTATGAAATTTTTCCTGGCAATTCCAAATGTGTGAATTACTCCTCTAATGCCAGGACTAGTCATCATCTTCATCTTCACTTTTTGTTTCTTATTGCAGACTAGAAGATTTGTGGCTTAATGACAACAATATAGCATCATTAGAAGGACTGGAAGAAGCTGTTACCGGTACTAGAGAGAAGCTAACAACCATTTACCTTGAGCGCAATCCCTGTGTATGTGTCTTTAAACCTTAACGCATACTTGTAGTATAAACTGGCAGCAATTGTTTTGCTCTTTTTTAGGTTGTATATTTGCTTGTACTTGAATTTGTTGTTTCTGGAGATCTTTTCCTTCATCTCGAACTTCTTTCAGGGGTTTTCTGCATTATACATCCTTCGTCTTGAAATGGGTCTGAGTCACTCTCTTCCAATTAGTGATTTTATCCTTTCATGAGATTCTGTTCAAACTTTGTCTTTTGTTCGAGAATTTGTATTCCTTGATAAGCGATACAACTGTGATATAGAGAGAGACACACGTGGGATCTGAAATATTTAACCCTATTTTCAAATTCAAGCCAGATAAGGAGGATGATGCACATGTCAACAATCAGGGATCACTATTTTAAAAGTGCTGGGTTGCTGGTCCAAAACTCTAATCTATAAGTGAGGCTACGTCCTCTTCAGGCCCAGTATTATTTAATGAGTCCCAGGTCCTCTTACAGACCCCATCTCAAAGGAAATTGATCCAATCATTGATGGAAGTTGAGGCAAATATTTCAACAAGAAGAAGAACGTGGATCAATGAAGATCAAAATAATATCATGGAAGGGGGCTTAATGGCAAAGATAAGAGAAGGGTGATAACTAGCTTAATCCTTAAATGGAAGGCTGGTTTCTTTTATTTTCAGGCGATAAAATTATAAGAGGACATTGGAGAAAAGATTAAGCAGATATATGAGTAAGCGGGGGAGTCAAATATGCTCAGTTGGAGGCAGTGGAACCAGGGAGTATTCTAATGTGGTGGGATACCAAAATATGGGATGGGGGAGATAGTTGCAACCAGATCATATTCCATGACCTACAAATTCGTGTCTCAAACTCAGTATTTTAATTGACATATGATAGGATTTATTCTCCCAACTGTAACAGAGAAAGACAAGAAGTATGGTGGGAGATTGGGGCTGTGAGGGGTTTATTCATTGGACGTTGGGTATTAGGTGGTGAATGGTGATTACAACATAGTTCGATTTTCCTCTAAAACAAGGAACTGCACTAAAAGCACCAGACAAATGACAATTCTCAAACTTTATTGATGACATGGAGCTGGTTGATCCACAGCTCGAAAGGGGCAATTACACATGGTTTAAGGGAAATATTATCTAGAATTGATAGGTTTCTTGTTTGAGGATTGGGATGATATGTTCAGAAATATTAAGCAAGAAATCCTATCCAAAATCAGTTCTGACCCCACTCTTCTATTTAAAAAATTGTGGTAACTGGGAGCTAACCAAATCTTATTTCAAATTTGAAAATTTCTAGTTGGAGACGTAAGGTTTTAGTCATAAAGTAAAGATGTGGTGGTCTTCCTTTGACATTGAAGGCAGACCGGACTAAATACTTGCAAGGAAGCTCATAGCTCTAAAAAGCAAATTGAGAGAATGAAGCCTAAACAATTATTTACGACTGGGCGAGGGAGAAAAATGCTATTCTAAATTAAATCATTGTGCTGAATCTTATACTATAACAAATATTTTTGAATGAGGAAGAGATCATCATAAAGAGAACTTGTTCATGGAGTTGATCATCCAAAAGATTGTCAACTTTAAGTGCATTTTATTTTTTCTAAGATTTAACCACTTAATGAGTCTAATAGATCCGAGTCATTCAAATCGTGGTCAAAGTCTTAAAACTCTTAAGAGGCTATCCACTATTCAATTAAAGATTCTTAAGAAAGTGACCTTTAACCATCACTCTATCCACTACCACCAGTCACCACTATCCAACCACCACCACAACTATTATTGTTAATCACCATTACCAACCACTCCCACAATCACAAACAACCACCACCACCACCACTACTGCCAACGACCTCCACCATCACACCGTCAAACATCACTGCTAACCATCACACTGTCAAACATCACTGCCAATCACCATGACCACAAACACTAGCCACTCCACCATCACAACTATTTCCATTGCCAATGATTACCACTAACATTGTCAATTACCAACCACCAACACTACTGCCACCATCACTTGTTAGTACCACCAACCATCTCTACCATCTCAGTCACCACCGCCACCACCACTCCCAACCGTTACCATCAACACTCCTTCTGCACAACCACTGGTATTAGCCACCACCTCCAAATACCACCACCAAACTACACCTTACTACCTAATATTTTAAGGGGTCGTTTGGTAGAGTGTATTGGAGAAACTAATGCTTGCATTAGCGTGGTGTATTACTAGTATCTTGTTTGGTACACTTTTTTAACTTATACATTACTAATGTTTGTATTTGTAATACACTCTATTGTGTATTGAAGAATGTATTACTAATACCATGAATTTCTATGCATTAGCAATGCAATGGGTTCTAATGCATGCATTAGCATTGATAAAGACACATTTGACCCTCAAAAACTTTTTCACATCCTTTCCACTAAAAATATTTGTTTACAAAAAAACTCTCCACTAAAAATATTATGCTTGTATTTTTGTAAACAAATATCTTTTAAAAAAAATTATGCAATGCATAATATTTTTAGTACTACCAAACCAAACATTGCATAAGAAAGATCTCATTATAACTAATGCAAGCATAACTAATACAAGCATTACTAATACACTATATTTTACATTATTCTTATACTCTACCAAACAACCCCTAAGAATATAATATTCAAATTTGTATTTAAATTTTTAAATATTTATTACTCCCTCCATACCACTCTATGTGGCCATGTTTTTATTGAACACGGAGTTTAAGAGAAAATTGATGACTTTTGAAAATATATCATCTCATTAAATGGAAAATTTTAAATCAAATTGTTTCTAAATATAGAAAATTGTCGCTCTTTTGGGACATAATAAAAAAGTAAGTGTGCCACAAAAATTGGGACAAACGGAGTAACTTTTTAAAAAGATAAATTATAAACATTCAAATGTTGAGAAAACAAACCGTCTTTTTGAAAACAAACTGTCTTAATAGTTCAGTATTCAAATCTATATACAACATCTTAATATTCAGATGTATTTTCAGATTTGGACATTTCAGTCTTTAAAAAATGGCCCCTTCCCGCCTTATACTGCCTGTACATCTCTATGTAAGCCAATCCATTAATTCTTAAACTTGCTTTATCAAAAATCATCATTGAATTGTGTCGTACCTTGGTTGGTTAATGTCCAGCAGATCTGTCTTCTGCTCTGTACAGTGTACAGTGTCATGCAGAGTGAATTATCTATATATTTCCTTTTAGACTTCCAACAATTTATCTATTTGGCTCCAGCTCCTTAAAAGTGTTGTCAACTTCTAGATTTAACGCATAAACAGGATACTGAAGGATGAGAGAATATTCAAGTCATCAATATCAACTCATGAACACACCAATTGGTGATGATTTCTCTTCGAATTAGAGACATCCTTGGTTGAGTGATATAACTACTTTAATCACCCCAAAGTATAGAGGACATAAGATTCTCCTTTGAAACCCCAATATGTTGAGAATGGAAGTGTGAAATCCCCATGAGATGACTTTTCTTTTATCAATTAACATACAAAGCTTTGCATTTTGACATTGAGGTATAGAAGCTCAATACTTAAAAAAGAAACAAGCCTGAAGACAAACAATGGAGATTTGGCATGTAGTCTCTAATTAAAACCAAAGAAGTTGTGGGTGTTGAAACCTAAGCTAAGAATTTGTAAGGGCATGTCGAACTCCAAGCTGAGGAAAGCTCTACATGTTAAAAGGGTATGAAAGATTACATAAAATCTGAACATAGGATGCAAGCCTAAGCAATGGAAAAAGTTCAAAGATGTGGATCCTGAGCATTGGAGCCAAAATTATGGAAGCAACACTGGGTTGCCTGCTTGATGAGTTTGACGCACAACATTTCAGAAAGAAACACTTTGCAAGGGCAGAGATAAACAAGGTAAGACTGAACTCTGACGGCTGGAAAGGATTTGTCTTTAATTGCAGGGTGAACAACGGGATAGAAAAGCTGGATTCATTATCTATGAGCTGGGCTTTATATTTGATTTGTGTGCCAACCCTCTGTTCATTTGGAAATTTCAGCAGCATGGACTTGGGTTCCTAGTGCTTTTGCATTCTGGTAGATGGCCAAACCCAGGCGAATGTGAGACCTTGCTCTGTGTCTGAGAATTTATACATCAATCCTGAACTCCACAAGATAGGATACTGGGTCTTACCTTGTAAAGGCATCCTAGAAATATGGATTGACAGAGAGTAGTAACTGAGACTTGACCTCTATGTCGGAAATGGAATGCTCTGGCCACTTGAGCTACCTCACTTGTCTAAAGACTAGACTTGATCATGAAAATCTTTTTCTTTTTCCAGAATCAAGTTATATTAGGAATGTGTTTGGTATATTTTTTGGCATGTCGATATAGGTTGAACTTACATTTCATGCTCGCAGGAGATTTCTCAATCTTTTTTGATCGATTAGAGATCTTTTACATCACAAAGGTAAAGGCTTTCTCTGATAACCTCACTAATGCATTGTAATATGGTTGCAGGCACAATCTCCAAACTATATAAGTACTTTGAGACAAATATTCCCAAACATTGAGCAGATTGATTCTGAAGTGTACGCGTAGGTGCTTGGATGTGGATCTTATGCATGGTTGATGCTGATCCCCAAGAATAATGCGCTTTTGTCAGTTTTATATTGTTTTCGATGAGGTCCAGCTGATGAGATGCTGTAAAACCAGTTATGGCATCATTTCAGGATGCCGAGGTCCTGAAAACATGAAATTACAGGTAGCTGCTACCTAATTATGGAGAGCATCCAATGACATTTACTGATTACTTTTTTCTGTCTCTGAAGACATTTATTTTGTTTGTCCTCGGACTACAAAGGAGTAACAATATTGTACTTATCTTTGTCCTCCAAATTGGAAATGTCGCCTTTTGGTGTTGTGTGTTGTGAACTGAAGGGAAAATATAAGGGGAAAATGGTATTTTATTGTCAATTCAATTTTTCAGAACTTTGATACCCATGTTCGTATTTGAGAAATTCTACGCATACCAAATAGTTAGTTAGGATTGGAAGATAAGTTGTTATTAATCCAGGATTTATGTACAACTAAGAAACAAAAGGATGTCAAAATTTGTCCTCTCAGACAACATACCCAAACAAAAGGATGTCAAACTTGAGACATTGAACTTCATTTTCTATACTAAATAAATAATAATAATTTATCCATGAGTACAAGGTAGAAAAGCTGAACAGGACGTGTGGCTCAACAACACGAGTTGTCTTAGTGCATTATCATTGGTTTTAGTAGGTTATTTAGTTACTTTTCTGTTTTATCAAATCGTAATTACAAATATAGACAATTACCAGTTTTTATAGTTAAGTTTAACTTCATGTTATAACAAATTATTTATTGTCAATGCCTACTTTAAAATTAAAAAAATATATAGAAAAAACATGGATCTTGTTAATGAAGTATCTGATGTTGCTATACAAAAAATTTCAACACAAAAAATATGTTGAAGACCATAAATTGCACCACAGTAACTCTGATTCCGAAGGTACTACAAATTGATCTCTAAAGTTCTTACTAAAAGGGAATAAAAAGTAAGGGTGTATATAATTTGGACTGTTTTGCATTTTTAATTATCAAATCAATTATATCGATTTTTAAAATTTATAAACTAAATCAAATAAATGAAAGTTGGATTTTCCAAAACCTAGACTTTTTCGGGTATTTGTTTTGATAAAGCCTTCATATAAAACACATATGACTTGCGCTTAAAATATGTCTTTAATCCACGTATAATATGACCATCTATGATGGATCGTAATTAACAAAAGAAGTACTATAAGATGAGTAAGACATTGGACTAAAATACTCAACCAAAAAAATAGTAAACTTGCATAAAATAAATATTGATAATTAATAAGTCATAATGTAAAAGTACTAAGTCATGCAAAAATAAATACGAATATAAATATCAGTTACATGACTAAACATTACTATAAAAGAAAAAAATAAGTTACGCATTTTCACTATGTTTTACTTAACAAATGCAAAGTAAAGAATATATATATAATCATCACTTAGAAAATTGTAATCAGGTCTTTTTTCCTAAAAAAGAGACCTTGGGGGCCGGTCTCTAATCAGAGATCTCATGAGGTCGGTATATTACATTTTTGTTGTCTCTTTTTGTTAAAATATATAGATAAACAAATAAATAATAATAATAATAATAATAATCATAATAAAAAAATTATTATTATTATTATCATATTATTATTTTTTAACAAAAAGAGACATTATAAGGTTGCTATTTCATTATTTATTTTTACTAAAAGAAACCTAGTTCCCTATACTTTGTTAAATTTATTTAATTAGTTAATAGCGACTCATGAGGGCGCCATTATTTTAAAAAATAAGACAGATATGTGACCTCATGAGGTCTCCTATTTTTTAAAAAATAATTAATTTTTTTTCTCTAGAAAAGAGACCTCATGAGGTCGCCTTAAGGCATTATCTGAAAATTAAAATTGCAGAAAAGAGACCTCATGAGGTCTCACGATTCGAGACTATTTCCTAGTCAACGATACTTAGAGTTATAAGTGATCTCAAGTCAAACCATGGTCTGACATGACACTAAGATTCATATAAACAATATCTAAAGATAACTGATGTGGAAGCTAAACTGAGGTAAATCCAAACCAACTGAATAGTCAAAATAGAATTCGTTTGAACAAACTATAAAGCTGAAACTACTGTCTAACTATCTGAAAGCTTCTACTGAGATGAGTTGCAGAAAAAGGCCCCCAACTAACTCTAGTCATCTGAAACTAAAAGATTAATATAAAAAATAGCAATAGTTCTTGTCCTCGAAAGATGAGGATTTACCAAACTTTTCTGCTGAGATGATTCAAAATGGTACTAACCGCGAGTTGGTTATTGAGCGTTTGATCTATATTATTGAAGAGTATAACATAAAAGAGTACGCGGTCAGTACTTTGAATGTACTAAGTATGTGAGATATGCACAATAATCTAATAAGTTGAACATGGTAAATCTAAGATCTGAGCTGAATATAAAGCTGAAATAAATAAGCTGATGCAATGGCCAAGTAATAAGCATGTAACTAATCAACATTGCACCGTGTAAATTAAATACAAGGTGATGCAAATCTGAGACTGAACTGTGGGAAATATATTAACCAATATACTCCCATCTGAATTATACTGATAAAATACAAAATACTAATAAAACTAGATAGCTCATTAGTGCTAAAATATGAGACTCAAATAATAAATACTTTATCTAAAAACATCATATATATATATATATATATACGTGGAACTGAAAGATTGATGGTACAACTGATCATAACAAATTCTATCATCCTGAACAAAGCATGCAATAACCAACACAATTTTAAAGAAATGATTTTTTCCTATTTTGAGGGCTCACGAAAATACCTATATACAAAATATTTAATTTTAGGTTAAAATGTGTATCCATGGACTATTCATGGAAAAAAACTGAAATATAACGTACGTAGTTCATGCTTTTCATAAGAGCCCTAGATTCTGTAGAATTTGATTAACTGAATAATAATATTTTCTTCAAAAATTAATGGGTGAAAAAATACCCATTAATGAAATCTCATATACTTGGAAGTGAAAATCTTGATAAAATCCTTAAACTCAAAGCTTGGAGATGATGAACTTAATTAGGTTTTCTTGAAGATTCTTGTGCGTCGACTCGGAAACAAAATTGTTCAACGTTGGCGAAATGCACGTGTAAGACAAAATGTTTGACAAAACTAAAATGATCATAACTTTTTACTCGAAATTCGGTTTGACACAATCTTAGTGGTGTTGGAAAGAAGGCTCATAGCCCTTTAATTTGATAGGTCATTAGTCACCTAACCCTTCATATTCTAAGAGATATGACCATTTGAAGTTGACTCAAGTAAAATCATGCATCACTAGACGATTCTTAGGACCTTAGTTCATCTCCAAAACACTTCCCACACTTAGGAATTAATCTTAACACCTATACACAATTAAGAATCACCCAGTACGGGCCTTTAAACATACACAAAAAGATTTGGATATTAGCTTAGAAATATATTTTTTGGGGTGTTACAGTTTCGCCCCTCTCATAATCTTCCATTAGGTCACTAACTTTGCGATTTTTCCATTATTTGCGGGATGGCAGTCATGTACTAACTCTATCTTCGTCGGTTACTGCCTTCATGTCTGAAACATACATTTTTGGAGTTCAATAGGATGTATTTATGAGACACCAATTCTAGTGTTTGCAATAAATTTTAAAGTGATTAAAAAAAAAAATTGTAATCACAAATAAAATATGAAGAAACATAATTTTATTGATCAAGATTGTGAGTACGATTATGTTCCTCCCTCGATTCTTCTCTCAAAAAGTTTATCCATGATTCGAGTGTCCTTAGTGGCATATTTCTCGAACTAGGATGATTCATTTTGATCTCTCTATGAATATTCCATGAATTTATGGAATATTCGAAATGCCTCTTAAAGGGAATATAGTACCCTTTATATTGGCATGAACTAGAGTTTAATATTGAGTAGCCTCCAAAAATTCTAATTGGAATTGAACACACCTTGTAGAGTCCCAGCTCGAATTGAACGTCTTGTAGAGTCCCACAAAATTTCAATGTCTACAAATGCCCCCTGCTTCAAGGCTTGTCGGAGTGTAGACTTGTTGAAACTCAAAGACGAGGCTTGAAGTACTCATTCTTCCACCTTTGCAGTTTCAGATTTTATTTATGAGAGTAGAGATGAAGGACATATTTGATCCCACTGGACGTGCAAATTTGTTTGCAACAAATTTTGAAGTGATACAAAAATAAATCAACCACGATAAAAATATAAAGAAACAAGAATACTTTATTGATTAATCAATACGAGTACAATTTTGTTCCTCCCTTGATTCTTCTCTCATAAGATTTATCCATGATTCGAGGGCCATTAGTGGCGTATTTCTCGAACTAGGATGATTTGGATTTGATCTCTATGAATATTTCATGAATTTGCGGAATATTCGAGATGTCTTTTCAAGGAAATATAGTACCCTTTATATAGGCATGAACTAGGGTTTAGCCTCGAAGAATTCTAATCGAAATTGAACACACCTTGTAGAGTACAACTCGAATTAAACACATCTTGTAGAGTCCTATAAAATTTCAATGTCTACAAATGCCCCTGCTTCAAGGCTTGCCGGAGTGTAGACTTGAAACAGACGAGACTTGAAGTACACATCTTCCACCTTTGCAGTTTTGTGACTTTAAATTTGAAGATTTGATTTGTGAGAGAAGAGATGAAGGGTAAATTTGGTCCCACTAGGCGTGTCAATTTGTTTGCAACAAATTTTAAAGTGATAGCAAAAATAAATTGCAATCACAAATAAAATATGAAGAAACATAATTTTATTTATCAAGATTGTGAGTATAATTTTGTTCCTCTAGTGATTCTTCTCTCAAAAGATTTATCCATGATTCAAGGGTCATTAGTGACGTATTTCTCGAACTAGGATGAGTGATTTTACTCTCTCTATGAATATTTGATGAATTTACGGAATATTTGAGATGCCTCTTAAAGGGTATATAGTACCCTTTATATAGGCATAAACTAGGATTTAAGATTGAGTAAGCCTTCAAAAATCCTAATTCAAAGTGAACACTCCTTGTAGTGTCTCAACTCAAATTAAACATCTACACCTGGTGATGTGAATTTTCAAGTCCTTGTGGTCTAGCATTGCCTTGTTCAATTCTCAGGGATGTTTATTCAAAACTTTCTAATTTGACCTTTACCATTGAATTTATTTGCCACGTATTGGTGTACCATTCTTCCACCTGGGAAGGGCCACTTTTACCACATACAAGAACCACTTGCATGGACTTTCACAAATTCTTTAAGGGTCATTCGGTAATGCGTATAAGAATAGTGTGAGTAAGATTTATAAGTGATGTAATGTTGGTA